GGGGGAGATAGGCCACCTCGTTCAGCCAGGTGGGAGCAAGGGTTGTTTTCAAAGACAGAGGGTTTGTAACCCACCTTCTCCTGCTTAAGGAGCCTGGGGAGAGGTGGTGAACTGACCTGGCTGGCCCCCAATGCCTGTGCCCTGGTCCACCCCAACCATCTGAAGGAGGCAGGACTCTCACCGTGGGGCCCGGGTCTGTCTCTGAGCCCTGGGACTACTGTGGAAGCCCCTGGAGCTGAGGGCTCCAGGTCGGACAGAGACCTGTGTGGGCCCCTCCTGCGTGGTTCCCAGGCCAGGAGGAGCAAGGCAGGGCCCACCACATCCTGATTCTTCACCTCCCTGGCTGGCTAGGGCCCAGGGCGTGTCTCGGTCGCCTTCCCAGGGTCTGCTGCCACTCCCCTGGGCGCTGTCAACACATCAGAGAAACGGGAGCAAGCAGATGCTGGTCAACACAAGCAAGCGACCCACTTTGTGGGGCTTCCCTCCTGGTCCAGGGCTCAGGCTGTGTTGGGAGGTGAGGGTGTGCTTGGAATAGAGGTGGGAAACGCACATGCCCACAGGGCCTGGGTGTGTCCAACTGTGGGAAATGCTCAGTGGGTGACAATGGGGGAGCATGGCACTCCTGCGGCGGGTCAGCCACCACCAGCGAGTCGTGGGTTCAAGGTCCCCACTGAAAAGCAGGCATGTGACTGGACAGTGAAGAGCCAACGTAGGCAGCTAACCTGCGGTAGGACCTCAGACGTCGGTGGACCACCTCCAGCTCACGGCGGGTGATTGACAGCCACCCTCTCCACTGCTCACTAGGAAGGTTGAGCTCCTCTCCTTGGGTTTCAGGGGCTGCCTCTTTAACCCCCCCACTCTCCTGAGTTCTCTGCTCCCTTGTCCTTACTTCTCTAGGCACGTACAGGCTGCCTCTCTCAGGATGCTGCCCGGACACCCTGGCAGCCCCTACCTGCTGCTCTCTCCACACTTTCCACTCGGCCACCAGCCCGTGCCTTGCATTTCCCAGATGAGAGCGAGCCCAGTCATCACTGACCTGTCCCAGGGAGACAGGCAGGGCACGAGGACACGCCCCTGCACCCTAGCCTCTCGTCCAGGCTCTGTCTGCCTTGCTGTGACCAGGGGCAGTCCCCCTTCTCTGGGCCCGGGCTCCCATCCTTTGGCTTCTGGCATTCCTATTATTTTAACATGCTGCTGGGCTGCTTACAGAGGTCAGCTGAGGGGACACAGGCATTCAAGCGTGGACAGTAGCTGAGGCACGCAGAGGGCTCCTGGGGACCTCGGAGGTGGTGACTGCTCGGTGCTTGGCGCCCACGGAGCCAGCAGGCATGGGCCCGCTCAAGTGCCGAGGAGGCTGACATTTCTGTGCTGCCTGCCAAGTTGCTGCGGGCTGGCACACAGTGGCAGTGGGGGTGGGTGGGCATGCTGCAGTCCTGGGGGACAGGCCAGGTGACCTTCCGTACTAAGGCAGAGGAGGGAGCAGCTTGGCCCCCAAGGACCTTGCCAGGGAGGAGGCTCCTGCCCGCCGCGTGTGCGCCTGCTCCTGTGTGCGAGCGTCAGGCTAAAGGCTGCACCAGAACAAAGAGCTGGGGGCTGGGTATCTGAGGGGCCCACGTGGAGACGCCTGACTTGGCGGTTTGCTGCAGTGTCTGCTCTCTCTCTCTCTCTCTCTCTCTCTCTCTCTCTCTCTCTCTCTCTCGCTCTCTCTCACACACACACACTCACACACGAAGAGCACTGCCCCCAGGCCTGAGCTCCAGCTCCAGAGCCCACCAATGCTGGCGAGCACAGCCAGCCCAGCCCAGCGCCATCCCTCCTGACAAAGCACTGCTCCTTACTGCATGATCTCATCTCACCAGCCCTCATCTGGCCCCAGCTTGGCCTCCTGACAAGAGAGACAGACAGGGAGAGGGAGCAGGAGAAGGGGTGGGGGAGGCAGGCAGGGAGAGAAGAGGAGACACACACAGACACACAAAGATACAGCTCCCCTGATACACACACACACACACACACACATACACCCTAATGTATCCCCCCGAGACACACTCACCATCTCACACACACAGACATGTGTGCACACACAAACACCAAGGAGAAAGTCTGAGAGGCGGAGGGAAGGGAAGGACGGACAGAGACAGACAGACAACATCAGAGACCCCCAGAGAGAAAGGAGGGGAGAGCCTGGGAGGGTGAAAATTGCACAAGCCAATCAGACATGGTGGGAGCCCAGATGGAGACGGAAAGACTGGAGGGCAGAGAGGCAGCACACGCTGGCTGCAAGGGCTCTGAGTACAGAGAACATTCTAGAGCTGCAGAGGCCTGGCTGGGAGGGGCCTGGTCAGGCCCAGCTGTGGGCAGGGTGGCCACGGGACCCCCACAGCTGTACCAGAGGTGGGTGACACAGGTCATGCACCCACAGAGCCTCTCTGAGTTCCAGCTCACTCCTTCATAGGTGTAGGTAATACCCTGTCTCACAAAGCTGGGGCTGCAGCAAGGTTGGGGAGCACCCAGCACGCATCAGCAGGGCCATAAGAGACCCATGAGGGAGGGCTGCACGAGGCCTGACCTCTCCCTGAGACAGGGAAAACCTGGGGCTTCTGGGGGAGCCCACTTTCCTGCTTACCCCTGACCCTTTGACACGCTTTCCTGCCTTGGTTTTGCCTTTGACCTATTCTTTAGGTAAGGGGTGGGGAACCATTTTTCTGCCAAGGGCTATTTGGATATATATAACATCATTTGAGGGCCAGGCAAAATTATCAACTTAAAAATTAGCCTGCTATATGTGGTCAAACATTTAATTAACTCAGCCCTAATGCTTTGGCAGGGCCAGACCAAAATTCGAGGGCCTTATATGGCCGAGTGCCAGATGTTCCCCAGCCCTGTTCTAGTTTCATCCCCTTGTCTCCACCCAACTGCACAAGTGGAGCCTTCCTGGTCCAGCACCAGCATCCTTGTCCTAATGTCCCCAGCAATCTGTCAACCAGTTCCCCTCCTGCCCCCCACCCCACCCCTGCAACCTGTTCTTTTCTAGCTGGAACAATCTTTGCAAAATGAGAATTTAGCCATGTTCTCATTACTTTTAGAACAAAGACATAATCCTCAAGACAGGCCCCATGGGTTCTCACTGCTGCTGACTTCTGCTTCTGGGCTCTGGAACCACTGCCGTTAGTTCTGCCAAAAGCCATGCTTCCTTCTACCTCAGGGCCTTTGCACAGACGGCTGTTCCCTTTACCTGGGAAGAAGCTCTTCCTCCTTCATCTATTCTACTCTTACTCAGCCTTCCGCCACCCCCGAGGGGTCTCATGGCATCACTGAATTTTCCTTCATGGCACTTACCACAGCTTAAATTTACACACATGTATACATACACATACACAAATGCACATGCACATACACCTGTGATTATTTGATCAATGTTTCTCTCTCTCTCTCTAGACCAGGGGCCAGGAAACCATGGCCTATACCTGATTTCGTGAAAAAGCTTTTATTGGAACTAGCCACACTCATTCATATCGCCTTTGGTTGCTTTTGTATGGACTGTGAGGCCTAAACTATTGACTATCAGGCCCTTTACAGAAAAAGTTCGCCAAGCCCTGCTCCAGACTGCAAGTTTGCCAAGGTGGGGCCGAGTCTGTTTTATTTCTCATGTAGCCCAGCCCTGGCCAGGTGCCTGTGCAGAGCAGGTGCTTAACAGAGACATGGATGCATGTGTTTCTTGCATAAGTAGCCATTTTTACCTTGTCAAAACTGTACTGACTTAAGTCATTACGAAAACTGCAGATTCCATCAGGAACAGACATCACTTAAGAGATTCCAAGCGCATTTCTGGCAAGCAGTTCAATACAACAGCGGCTTCTCAGCCCAGGCCGGCACACCAAGGATCCCACAGCAGCGACTGGCCAAGGAGACCCTGCCCCACGGTTCAGAGGTGCCCACGACCCTGTGCACGACTGCCACAGACCTGAGAGGGAGCCCACCCCTCACTCAAGAGGTTAGGACTGAGGAAAACACATCACGAGACGCCCTTTACATGTTTTCATTAAGGCTCTTTCTACATCTACTCCAAAGACCTATCAACGAACTCAGAGAAAACGTCTGTTTTATCCTTATACGGAGAAATCATTGATTTTTTTTCTTTTTCAATGAGTTGTTCTGACTTGGTAAGAATGTTAACAACAGCTAGACACTATGCTTGGTGCTGTACAAACTTCTAGAACTTACAGTGATCACTGCAAGGTAGGGCACATGGTCATTCCTGCCTTCCTGGGGAGAGGAGCTGAGGCTCAGAGACAACACGCTCAGCAGGGGCCGGGCTGGGTAGTGACAGGCCCTTGGAGGGTTAAAGCTTACACTGCACCCCTGCCTCAGCGATGAGGATGGCGGGGAGTGTGCAGCCGTATCTGCCTGGTGGGCGTGGAGCCCTCACAGACAGAATGCCGCCTGCCTCCTTCAGGGCCTCTATTTAAGACGGGGCCATGAGGTCCCTGTTAGAAGCCTGGATGTGCTGATTTATTTTTATTTAGCAATTTTTTTGAATGACTCCAGTGGAGTGTCAGGGTTAAGAATGATGACGCTGGAGTACAGACCTGGGCTTAAATCCCAGCTCGGCCACTTTTCAGCTGAGTGACCTGGGGAAATCTCTTCAGCTTCTCTAAGCCTCAGTTTCTTCATCCATAAAATGGGAATGATCACAGTGCTCATGCCCAGGGGTCACTGTGGTGATGAAATGAGACAATGTACAGCTCCCTTTAGCCTGCTGTTGGGTGTGGTGTGCCTTGGACCACCTGCTGGCCCTGAAGTGCCCCTGAAGGTAAGAATATTTCCCGAGACAAGGAACAAGTCCTGCCCACGGGCTCTGAGCCCAGCTGCTCCTGGAGGCTCACACCACATCTGGGTAAACCTAGGCACCAGCCAACGGGGGTGGCGAACAGCCCTGGGTTAGAGTCCAGTTCCCCTCCCACGTCCCGATGGTGTCCGTGGAGCCCCCAGTGGTCACCTACCGGCAGACTTCGGAGTGAACTTGTCTCGGTTCGCGGCACACACAGCCAGCAGTCTGTAGCCGAGGTCCAGGTCGAAACCTTGCTGAGCTGCCACCCGACTGACCACCTGCCAGCAAGAGGGGAAGGAAAGGCAGGGGTGAGTCACTGCCTACCCCAGGCCTCTGCGCCCAAGGAGCAGATGTGCCCATTTTATGGGCGAGGCGGGCAGGCTGAGGCCTCGTCAGTCACTCAGCCAACACGGACAAGCACATCTCCCACGCCGGGCTTCCCGGACTCCAGGAGGCCCATGCCCACCTCCTCCCCGCCATCATCATAGATGTCCTGGACCCACCGTCTCGGGGCCTTGCTACCCTCATCCTCCAAGCAAGGTCCCCTCCCAGAGCACTGACACCCCCTGCCCCCTGAGTCCGAATCTGCCCAGAAGGAGAAACACTGACTTAGGACACTGGGCTCCCGTGGAGCCTCAGCTTGGAGTCGCCCAGAGAGACACTCCTACACTCCTTGTGGCTCAGCACTGGGCCAAGCCCCTTGCAGCCCTCAGACCTCAGCCCAGAAACTGTACACTCTTCCGCGTGGCCTGGGTCAGTCTCCAGGGCCAAGCACCGGTCCACACAGGCGGCTTCCGTAAGGGCATCGCCAATAGCTGCGTATCCGGAGCCTGGAGGTTCCCACCATCTCCCGTGAACCTAGAAGTACGGCCCAGGAGGGAGCGGGGAGGGCCTGGGAGGGCTGTCCGTTCCGGGGAGCGGTGTGGGCCAGGGTGCTCCGGGGGCCCTGCGAGTGGTCCACAGGCTCACGGCCATCAGGCACCGCTCCCTCCCCGCCCGCTCCCAGGTGTCCTGCGCCTGCCAGCTCTGCTCCCTCCTGCCCGCCTTCCTCATTAACAGCAGGCAAATTAGGTTCCTTATTAAGAAGAAAGGACTTTGGAAAATGGAGTCGCTTCAGGAAGCAGCTGGGCGGCCCTGGCTGACTGGGAAAGGAGTCCAGAGGTGGGGCTCTCTCTTGAGAGAGGCAGACTCACCGTCAGGCCCTAGAGACCACCTGCTCCCGAGGCACGCGGAAGTGCCATGGGGTTGGGCCTGGCCCCTGCGGCCATTAGAACAGTTCCGCATCATGTGCTCTCTATTTAGGAGTCCTTACAAGGGCTCTAGGGCTAAAGAGGGTGGTAATACCACTAATCTAGGCCGACCCTTTCATTTAAATAATGCAGACCCTGGAGAGTATCCCTGGTGAACCAGGGAGGAGTGGGGATCCCCTTCCCAGGACCACCGGAGCCTCCTGGAACGGCGCCCGGCCTCCCCACCCCATCTCCTGGGAACCCCCTGTAAGGAGGAAACACGACTTTCTCAGGTTAGAATGTTTGCTCAGCTTCCCAGCCTCAAACAGAAGCCCCTGATGCCGAGGTCTCCATCCCCCCGTCCCCCCTGGGGCCTCTTTCCCACGGGCTCTACTCTCTCCTGTACTGTGGTTCTCATCCCCTCCTTCTCTCCCCCCTCCCCCCGCCCCACACACCATGTTCCAGAATCTCTGGGCCACCCCGGAGCGGGGCTGTCCTCACGGTGAGTCTCAATGTTCAAGCAGGAAAACAAGGCCCCTAACTCTTTAGGACAGACAGACAGGTCTGCAGACAGACAGTGCGCAGAGCCCTCCCAGGGAGGAGAGCCGTGGGGTGTGAGCAGTTTGCACAGGGAGTCCGTTTGGACTGGAGCATCAATGAGGCTGCTGTTTATGGGAAATGTCAACACGGGCGAACGGTATAGTGAGAGAGTTGGCTCCGGGCACTGAGGGCTGAGTAAACGTTTTGTAAGCAGAGATGCGCCAAATTCTTACAACGGCTCACGAGGGGGTGTTATCATCTCTGTTTTACAGATGAGGAAACCGAGGGTGAAATAACAGCCCGAGGTCCACGGGAGGGCCAGAATGTGACCCGAGGCAGCCAGGCCGCGTGCACGGTCAGCTCTGGCCAGGAGAGGGCCTCTTTTTCAGCCCACAAAGGGTTAAGGCCACAGCTTCCAACCGGCCTGGCCTGGAGCACCCTCAGGCCCTAGTTTGAGGGCAGGAAGGTAAAGGTCCCACTGCTCGGCCAATACTGGCTAATCCTGTTGCTCTGGTTTAAAAAAAAGAAAAACTAGCTAAATTGAGCAAGCGGGGCCTGGGGCTGGTACAAGGGCTGTCCTGCAGGCTGGGCCGGACCCTTCAGAGGAGCAGGAGTATGTCACCACGTCCCCCGAGCGCCCGCCTGTAGAAGAGTCACTGACAAGGAGGCTGAAGGCCGGAGAAGGCAGAACCTCGCTGAAGGTCACACAACACAGGTGTGGCGAGCGTGCTCAGCTGGACCCTGTGACCCCAAAGTGTGCATGTGCCCCCTGGCTTCTGGGCCCAGCCTGAGGACCCTGGGAAAGTCCACGAGGTGGACCCAGCCGAGCAGCCTGTCGTGTTTCAGAGGCCTGCTCCCCCCGAAATGGGCAGCACCCTCCGTGAGGGTCCCCTGGGAGGAAGGCCCCTCCTCCACAAAGGCTGTGGCGAGCAGCCTTGTGCTGCTGCCCTCTGCTGGCTGCGGAGCCCACCCAGCTCATCCCAGCCCGCGGGAGGGTGGCTGGCTGAGACCCCAACCCCATGCCAGGGGGACTGACAGGTCAGAAAATCCAACCACTCAGGCCACAGAGAGAAACGGAAGCCCAGACTCGAGAGAGGGGGTGTGCTCAGGTCATGTGGCAAATACGTAACTCCCACGAAGGGAGTGTGTTGCTTTGAAAAGTGGCGAGCCTTCTGGCCCGGAAACAGGACAGGCTGCCTGGGAGAGGTTAGAGAAGGGTTTCTGCTCCCCTGGGGGGCCGGACACACAGCCAGCCCCTTCTGACTCCAACAGTCAGGGAACTGGAGGCATGCAGGGCTGTGTGCTCATCCTGCTCCACCCAATCCTGTGCAACCTACGGCTCAGTCACACAACCTTCCTGAACCTCAGGTTCCTCTCCTATGAAGGTTTGAGGATGACCTCCATTTCCACAGCCATGTTCAGTCTCGTGGCTGTACCCTAACCCCTCAGGGCACTTCGCTACCAGTCTCAGCGCAGGGCTGGTCTGGTCTTTGTGCTGCTGCTTTGGATCAAGGCATGAGACTGGGTTCTGGTTCTGCCACCTACTAGCTGTTCTACGTCACTCGAGTGACTTAATCTCTCTGGGCCTCAGTGTCCTCATATGTGAAATGGGTACAAAATGCCCTCCTTGCAAGGGTGACAGCCAGCACAGAGTTCAACGAACGCTGTGTATGAATGTCCGCCCAGGACGTTGGCAGTGAGGGCTTTGAGGCTGCGGGGACTTCCTCACAGGAGAGATGAGGCCCCTGTTGATGTGCTAACTGGTCTTGGTTTCCTTCTTCCACCTTCTACCTGCCTCCCCTCCCCTGAGCCTTCTAACAGGAGGAAGAGGGAGCAGGTCCAGGGAGGCCTGACTGCGAGGGGGACACCCAGAGGAAAATCCTGGCTCTGTCACTAAGATGGGGGGCCGGGGAGTGAGCAGTCAGCACCATCAGGAAAACCCTGGTGCTGAGGGTGGGGAGGTGCTCCAGGCTCCTGCACTTCTGAATCCTGGGGTCAGAGGGCATGAAGGGGAGGGTGGGCAGAGGCCTGCCAGGGGCCCAATGGGCCCAGAGCCAGTCGCTTGAATTGTGCCTGAGCTGCTTGGAAGCAGCATGGCACACATGTGTCCATTTTCTGTCTGTGGCTAAGTGGTGTTTAACTGATATCCTCTAAGTAAGCCGGATCCAGAGGAATTTGCTCCCAGAAGTCACCCAGGGGATTGTGGCAACCTGGGAAGTGCAGGCTGCCACCTGGATGGGGCGGGGTTCATGTGTTTGGGGCCTGGACAGCCTTACCGGCTAGGGCCCTTGGGATCTCTGACCTCCCCAACCCATCCCTCTCCGTGGGCAGGGCTTGGACTAAGGGTGCCCGGGGGAGGGGAGGACTGGCAGAATGGCCCTGGGGCGCCTGGGCGGTGGTCAGCGTTACCAGCTGAGACTATAGCCAGCTGCTCCCCTCTCCAGTTGCCTTGTTTGTAAAACAGGGGTGATGATACCTTCTCTGCCCACCTTGGAGGGTCTGCATAAGGATGCAAGGGGGCAGAGCCCAGGAAAGTGCCTCGGGCACTGAGGGTGTCTTCTGTGACCCTCCACCTCACCTTTCTCTCCCACTGGTTCTACTGAGCTCCAAGGACAGTTAGACTCGGCTCTCTGCAGCTGTGGCTGGTGGGCCCAGGACCCCTTTCTGACTAAGCAGTAGGTGGGGGGAGTGGGGGCAAAGATGACTGTTCAACCAAGTATATGCCTTAAGCAGGGGTGCAATGAGGAGAGGCCCAGCAGAGCAGCGCTGTGCCTTTGTCCAGTGTTCCCTGCCTGGGAAGCACAGCCTCTCCCCTGTCCTAAGGGGCCTCCCTGGACTTCCTCCTCCAGGAAGCCCTCCACAATCCCTCCGTCCTACCCTCTAAGGATGCTCCTCTTCAGAGCTCCTATCCTCATACAAATCGTATCCCATCACTCATCTGCTGAAGACCTTCTCGCTTGGCTTGCTGGCCCTGTGTTAGCTGCTTTCTGCTTCCTCTTCAACCTCATCTTGTACCCCTCCCCCTTTCGCGTGCTCTGTACCTTGAACAGATCAAGCCTCAGGGCCTTTGCACTAGCAGCTCCCTCTGCCTGCGGACCTTTCCCTCTCATTAAAGCTGACTCCTTGCCATCAGGTCTCAGCTGGAGGTCACCCCTCAGGAGGCTTTTCCTGACCACCGCCCTGCCCTTCTCGCGGGTGCATGTCCTAGTGTCAGCCTCCCACCGGAAAGTTAGCTGCGGGAGAGAGGTCTGTCTGTGGCACTCACCACACCCCCTCTGTGCCCAGCACAGGGCCTGGCCCCCTGCAGGGACTTGATGAGTATTTACTGAATGAATGGATGAATGACAAGGCCAGGGCAGAGCCAGTTACTGGCCATCTCATGCCCACCTGCCAGTCCAGCCCAGCCAGGGTCATTGTCTGATTCAGCTGCCAGCCCCACGTCCTAGGCAGGGCAGGCTCGGGGCGGGTGCTGGGGAACGTGGCGGCCTGTCTGGCCACGTGTTATGGGTGATGCCCACCTCCTTCACTCTGGCTGCCTGCAGCTGGGGTGGGAGTGAGGGCCTCTGTAACATCTGTCCCTGCCCACAGGGCTTAGCCTGAACCAGGATCCCCACAAAGAGGATTAAGGGAGCTGGGCAGGGAGGGAGGGAGAGCCCAGCGGCTGAAGGTTGAGGAGGGCTGCTGGGCAATGCCGGTGGCAGCCTGAGTTGGCCTGGTGTTCCCAATGGGGGCCAGATGGTGTTGGCTTTGGACAAATAGAGGCCGCCCGGGAGGGTCCTGGCGGCATCCCTGCCTGGCCGGCCTCATGGCCAGGAGCTGCGCTGTGGAGGCAGATGGGTCTCAGCTTGAATCCCGGGTCTGCTGCTCACGGGCTGTGGAACCTTGGGAGGTCAGTCACAAGTCTCCGTTTCCTCCTCTATAAATTGGGGAAGGTGGCAGGACCAGCCGCACAGAGTGGGTGTGAGGATTCAGTGAGAAGGCGTGTCCAGTGGGCCAGCTCGGTGTCAGGCAGAGAAGAGGTGCTTGCTAATGATGGCCCACGTATGGTCATTGTAGTCCATTATTCCTCTCACTTTCGCCTCCCTCCTGGCTGTAGCTTCCCAGGAAGTGTGATGCCCTCAGGCTTTACCCACTATTTCCCCTGGCCAGGCAGCCATCTTAGTCTCTCCTGCCCAAGCCTTGGGCTGGCGGGGCTCCGCAGCAATCTGTTTACCCACATTCTCTTCAAAGCTGACTCAGGCCCTTTGAGCGGCCACCCTCACACTGACTGATACAGGGCACATGGCTGGGGACATTCACGAGCGTCGGGCTCCTTCCCTGTGGCTGTCAGTCGGCAAGCCCTTAGGCTTGGCCAGCCACACCACCAGCTCTGGGTCTGGCCTCTGCTGAGCTCATATCCTTGATCCTGACCAAGCTGAGTTCGTTTCAGTTCTCGGGTTCTCGTGCCCGTCTGGGCCTTGCACGGGCCCCTGTGCCTGGGATACTCTGGCTACGCTCAGTGGCTTGTGCAGGGGGCCCACACTCCTGCAGATGGTCACGTGGCTCCTTTTCTCAGTGTTCTGTGACCCACCTGCCCCGTCTCCCAGTTAAAGCTCCCTTTCTCTTCTGTGTTTCCTCCACCTTGTGCACAATTTTCTCAGCCATCTCTTTCCATGTCTGTCTCCTCTACTGAAGAGGAAATCAGGCTCGGCAGAGTCTTATTCATCATTGGGTTCACAGGGGATTGTGCATGATAAACGAGGGATCAATCAGTATTCATTTAGATAGGCGGATGGATGTAATAGGAGCTTAATAAATGCTTATGTGAATAGCTAAGTGGATGGATGACCATAAAAATAGCTCAATAGATGTTTACCTAAGTCAATGAACAAATGACTGGGTAGATGGGCAAACCCTTCAAGAGTCTCTCTGCTTTGCTTATGATGGAACATTTACCCCATCAGACTTATAACTCGCCAAAATAGGCCGGGTCTTTCTCACCAAGTGTGGGGAACCCACATAATCATGGGGACTGTGTCTCCTCATCAGACCAGTTTCCTCTGGTGCATGTATGTCAGGGGTGAGCACAGAGGGCCATCCCCTCCATCAGGGATGGCTTCCCGTCTCTCATCCCCCATCACCTGTGGCCTCCCCTGCCCCTGGCCAGGCATGCTGGTCCCGGCCATCTTCTCTTCGCATGTGCAGGGGGGGAGGGTGCGGACTCACCGTCAAACAGCCCATCAGGCTCTGCTCGAAGGGCCGCTGGAAGGCCCGTGGGTCTCCACACCAGTCCAGCAGCTCGGTGGCGGCATTGTGGAAGTTGGCAGGGTTCTGTAAGTGCTGCGGGAGGGAAAGGAGACAGCATGAGGTCCCAGGGATGCAGACAGCGCGGCAGCAGGGAAGACCCCAGGCCTTAGGGAGAGGAGACTCAAAGGCCCGATTAACGTGTTTTCTTCAACTTCTCCTCATACAGCTTCCCTTTGCATCTCCTTCCCCAGCCGTCCCTGGCAGGATGGGGGTTACCCATTGTAAAGGCAGGAAAACCAAGGTCTAGAGCAGTGGTTCTCAACCTTCTAGCCCTTTAAATACAGTTCCTCATGTTGTGACCCAACCACAAAATTATTTTCGTTGCTACTTCATAACTGTAATGTTGCTACTGTTATGAATCGTAATGTAAATATCTGATATGCAGGATGGTCTTAGGCGACCCCTGTGAAAGGGTGGTTCGACCGCCAAAGGGGTCGCAACCCATAGGTTGAGAACCGCTGGTCTAGAGAAAGACAATGAGTAGGTATTAAAGTGATTTCTGGATCCTGGCAGTGCGGGAGGTGGGCCCTGCATGGTTCAGGAGGGTGCCATCTGGCTCCCAAAATTGGGGGTTAGCTTTTCCTGAGCAAGACAGGCTGGTCCTGGAGATTCTTTCTTGACAAGCCCCCTCCCACCCCCTCCACCTATGGCTTCAGAGCAAACGCTACCACAGCTAAGTCACACAGGAGCAGGGGGCTGGGAAGGTGGACTAAAACCAGGTGGTCACACCAGGGCCTGGTGGACGTGGCTTTTCGACCCCTGGTCTTCTGGGCCCAGTCTGGCTCGGCTCGGGGCTGTCGGCATCGTTGGGAGGGGTCCCAGCCGAGCCCAGGCCCCTCCCGGTCAGAGGTCTAATCAACAGAAGCGATTCTGGTGCCAAGGTCTCTAGACCTGGCCTCGGACTCAGGCCTTCCCTCCCTGACTTAACACATATCCGTGTCTTCCCAGGCCCCGCTGGGCGAGGCGCTGAGCCCGGCATCATGGAGCAGGTGGGGAGAAGCTGGGAGTCCCGCGTTGGGGGTGACTAAGTGTGGGTCCCCCGGCGGGACATCGCGTGGATGTGCACAAAGGTCGGAGTGTAAGCAGCCGCAAAGGGGAAGGGGGTCCCTCTGAGCTCCCTGTGGCCTTGGTGCTGGGAGACACAGGGAACAGTAGCTGCCCCCGGGGACTGCAGCCTCCCTTCCTGCAGCACGAGTCAGCCTCAGTGCTAAGGCGGGGAGGGGTCTTAGGGCTGCAGGTGCCGGAAGTGGGAAGGGAGCGGAATGTGCTGTGTGAGCCTCTGGGGCAGGGCCTCTGGGGGTCACGCTCTGCCTTCACCTCTTACTAGCTGCTGAGCTAGGGCCTGGCAGGTCACGGGACGGTGGTGGAAATGCTTGTTTCTTTCACTTAGGGTTTTATGACCGTTGTTCGATACAACGTGGCTTGTGCAAGGCAAGATTTAAAAATGGGTGGAAGAAAGTGGAATGAATGAGAATATCCTCCTTCCATGAAGGAACAAGAAGGGGAGATGAAGGAAAGGAAGAAGGCAAGCGTGCAGCCACACAGCTGTCACAGGGCCGGGTGGGGACTCAACAGGAGGAGGCTCACACGGCCCTGGCAAAGCACCTGGCATGGGGGTGTGCCCGCGTGGGGCTGCCCTTGGCCGTGTCCGCCTCCCCAAGGCTGTCCGGGAAGCACAGCTGAGCTCGCAGCTCGAAGCCCTGGCTCCACCCAGCACTCTCTCTGCAAAGGCCGAACTCTGAGCTTCATTTGCAGCGCATGGGAGAAACTTCCACATATAGAAACACGCCCTTTGGGAGGACACAGAGGTCCTCACCTCTGTCCTTGTGCGCAGAGGTGACTGGTCCCCTCCGAGGCCACGGGCGGCACCTGGGCTGCACGAGGAAAGCCAGGCAAACTGGCCAGCTCCCTGCCCGGCAGCCTCCTTTCGCTAACTGAGTTATTACATTTATTTACATGATGTCACACCCAATTAGTAGGGTCAGCAGCAGCCACAGGCTGCTCTCTGAGCTGCCTGCCCACAGCACCCTCTTCTTTTGGGGCTCTGGGCTCACAAGTGGCCTATGAGGGCAGGCTCAGGGGCCATCAGCTTGGGCTCTGAGTGGTCACCTGTGGGCACAACTCATTGGTCGAAAGAATGTCCAGCATCCCCTTCAGTGGCTGTTGCTCAGCGGCTCCGCCACTCTGGCCAAGCCCCTCGCTTCTCTGTGCTCTGGTCGCCTGTTTCCACTCTGAGGTGATTGGCGGGCACAGGGAGACTGAGTGATGTAGTGAAGTGAGCGGAACAGACCTGGACCACACCCCACCAGCCACTGAGCCACAGGTGGGTTCTGAGCTGCAGATCCCTCATCTGTAAAGGGGGGTGATGACAGCTCGCAGGGCTGCTGCAAGGGATAGAAACGATACCCCTGAAGACATCCCCTCCCACAGAGGAGGGCCAGGGGACGGTGACTGCTGCTCTGCATGCTGAGACCTTTGCGCTGTCTCTTGTTTCTTCCACGAGCGTCTTGAGCATAGAAACAACGCTCTGTCCGCCTCTGGACCTGGGGATGGCACAAGGCCAGGCCTGCACAGAAGTGGTTGGTGAGCAGCTAACTGTCCAAAGGAAGGTGCCTCTATAGTGCAGGCCAGCAAACTGACCACTTCAGAACAGGTCCCAGTGGCACATGGAGAGGCTGGTGGGTGAGGCTGGCCAGCCTTGGATGGGCTGGGCACGGGAGCACAGATCTGAATCACAGGCACAGGCCTCCCTGGCTGTGGCAGGGAGCACACTAATCCCCCGTCACCCATCAGGAAGCCTGCCCATCTCCACAATTCCTCAGGAGATCTGGGCTCTATCCACTGGCCACTGAGTCTGTTGGGGCAGGAGTAGCGGACATCAGTGCCCAGACCAGGAATTGGCTACCCAGACCAAGTGATGAACGCCTTTTCCTGTCAATCAGCCTGTAAATCAAATGATCCATCCATCCATCCACACAAATATGAATCAGTTCATAACCATCCATCCACTTACCCACCCACCCATTCAGCCATTCACTACTTTATCCATCACTCATCCATCCACTCATCTACCTACCTATCTACCTATCCATCCATCCAGAATTTATCCAACCACCAACTCATCCATTCATTCACCCATTTATCCATCCATCATCTAAATATACCCACCATGCAATCACCTCACTGCCCATCCACATGTCCACCCACCCACCCATGTATTCATTCCCTCCGCTACCCACTTATCAGTCCACCCCTGCCCCCTTTCCCCGGCATACTTGGGCCTCACCCTGGCCTGGGCACTAAGCTAGACTTAGAGATGGATATGGCACACCCTCTGCTCCCAAGGAATTTAGCCTGGTGAGGGGCCTGATATATGCCCTGCAGGGCCTACAGCTCAAGGCAGAAAGAACAGGAGGGGTGAGGCAGCTGCGTGCCCAGGAAGCACTAGAATTCAGAGATGGGCACCGGGGGTTTGCGGAGGCTGCTGTGCAGAAAGGAGCTGATTTGCATGGCTTTGCAGGTAAAGCCCAGATGTGCCTGTGACCTCTGAGTGGGGCACATTGTAGAGGGCACTGATTCTTCTGGTACCTGAGGCTGAGAAGGGGAAAAGGCAGCTGAGCCAGAGGCCTAGAGGGAGGATGGGCAGCAGGGTGCGGGGGATGGTGAGTGCAGCGATGGCTAGAACAGGGCGGGCGGTGGGGGAGGGAGGACTGCTGTAGAAGAGAGCAGAGCGGAGAGGGGAGAGTCAGAGGCTGCAGGCTGGAGGCCCCTGCCTGGAGCCCTCCCAGAGAGAGGTAGGCATAGCCGCCACATCCATCATCCTCAGCATGCAGACCTGCCCGCCTTTCTCTTCTGATTAGGGTACAGGACATCTGAGAATCAACAGTCCTCAGCCAGCTGCGGCCACCCTCTGGGGCAGCTGGGGAGCGTCTGACCCGAGGTGTGGGAGGGGGCGTGGAGGGCGCAGGGAGCTCTGAATCGTGAGGAGGGCATCTGGACAGCTTGCTCACCCTCACAGACATGCCACTGTCTGGCCCAAACGCAGAGCTCCGTGGGTGTGTGCACACGGTGTGCGGGCAGGCTGGGAAGAGCAGCTGCAGTGATCCCTGGCCCTCCGCACTCTATGGCTGGCATGCGTGACCATGCCCACTCCGCAGGCAAAGCGAGATAAAAGCGGCAACGTAACCAAGGTCAGGTAGCTAGTGAGGGTGGGACTCAGGTTCACTAGTAAGTCTGAGCTCTGGGCACCCCACTTCGAGAGGGCTGGACCCCGAGAGTAAAGGGCACCCTGATTCCTGGTGACGCAGAGCCAGGCAGGGGTAGGAAGGGCAAGTGCTGAGCAGGCCTCAGGAGCAGCTGCATGCCTGGCACACAGTCTCATGCACAGGGGGCATGACTGTATCGTTGGGGGGTGGAGGCCACTCACAGTGAGCCCTCATGGGCTGGAGAAACTGGGTCAAAGGCAGAGCCCTGCAGAGGAGGAGGAGGGAGCAGGGGAGGAGGGAGCGCACGTCTGGTTTCTATTCTGTGACCGTGAACAGAGGCATAATTGGCATTTGGGAGAGCTGCTCGGGCTGAGTTCAATCTGTAACAAGTCCTCTTCAATTTCCTCTCCTCAGCCTGCGCACAGGCTTCCGAGATTGCCCTGCTTGATGCTAATGGGAGGACACATCCCTCATTCCCGGGGCCAACCTCAGCTCCACCGGCCCCCGGAGCCCAGGGAGGACCTGCTGTGGGGGGGTGGGGGTGGGGCTGTGAGCTGGGGTGCGAGGCCAGTGGCCCACGCTGGTTACCTGAGCTCCCTGCCAAACCCGCTGAAGCCAGGGGACGTGCCCCAGCACTGCCCTTCCTGTCGCTGAGACACGGAGGACAACAGCCTTGCCACCATTAGCTGTCACCTGCCACGCGCCAGGGCTGGGCCTGTGCTTCACCCACAATATCCTCACAGCATCCTGCCAGGTGGGCCTTATCGGCCCCAGCTGACAGATGGAGAAACGGAGACGCCGAAAAACAAAAGGACAGCACACGGTAGGTACATGGAGCTGTGAGGATTGGGCCCAGGTCTGTGTACTATCAAAGCCATACCCCTTCCCCGTATCTGCTCCTCCCTGGAGTAAAATAGCATTCTGCAGTCTGCAGAGATGCTGCCACTCGGAGCTGCAGGGAGGCTAAGCTCAGAGGGTGGGCACAACCCACCTGGCCACCACTGGAGGAGGCGTGGGGGGCTGCCTCAACCAGGCTTCTCAAAGTGGGGGTCTCTGAGCCCACTGTGAGCGTTCCCCACCTCTGAACAATCCAGATGGGCTGCTGGTAGGCAAATCGCCTCTTGAGCTGGGTGTGAGCATTGGCAGGTGGGGCTGGGCTGTGACTTCAGGCTACTCCCTTCCCCTCTCGGTGCCTCGGTTTCTTTTTCTGTAACATGATCACGTTTCCCAGGCCCTTTTCTTCTGTTTCTTTATAGAGAAGTCACTGGAGCAGAGGAATGGGAGCTGAGGTCTGGGAAGGAGTTTGGCACTTACTGCATCCTCACAGTGCACAGCAGAGCCCAGAGAGGGCATGACAGCTGGGTAGAGGGGCAGGGACGAGGCAGAGCCAGCATTTGAACCTAGTGTGTGTGATTCCAGTGAGGATGGTCCATGCCAGCAATGCTCTCCCAAGATGGGTGGTCAGGTAGCCCCAGGCAGTCGACCCATGTCCACCACCATCTCCATCCTGGGCCCAGATGCGCATCTACAGGACAGGCCAGCACCCCTACTGCCTGTCCGTGTAGAGGAGTGAGCTCTGGCCACACACCCACCTGCTTGATGCACTGCAGGCGGTCATTGGTCTGCTGGATGTGCCTGTCCATAGAATTCATTCTGGCCGTTTCGCTGGGTTCTACCCGAGAGCCATGAACGTTGTCCAGCCTGTGGAGAGAGAGGAGCGTGGGCGTCACTGGGGTTGCGCCAGGCCCACCCGCCTTACAGCCACCCTCCAACCCCAACGCTGCCGTGCTGGCCCCGGCGGCTCCCAGAGGTTCCCGGGCCCTTTGCGAGCCATGGCGGCCTCTGCCCCAGGCAGCCCTGGGCTGGTGGGAGAAACCGTGGCCCCAGCTGCCCAGCCTGTCCTTCCCCAAGCGTGGCCCTGGGAGCCCCATCCGGACTGAGGACGGGAGGTGCTCCCGGGTGTTCTCTGTGGTGACTGATGTGAGCACTGGGCAGGCGTGTCCACCATGGGACGTGCAATGCACACTCAGACATGCATTTCTATGCACACGCGTGTGTTAGGTGGTGGTGGTGGGATGGCAACTTCATTTCAGATTCCAGTTCAGGGCTTAGCCTACTCGATGTGGCTATGTGTGTGTGAGCATGTATGTGTGTGAACATGTGTGTGTGAGAGAGCATATGTGTATGAGCACATGTGTGTGTGGCGGGATCTTCCCATGTGACGACCTCCACTGCACTTGGTGTAAGTGCAGTGACCCTGTCGTGAGTGTTGGGTGCCTCCTCAAACCCCCACACTTTAGAGTCTTCACACTTTACAAACCGCTCCACCTCCATTTCCCCCTTGCCCTCCTGGGAAAGAAGGAGGGAGGCCATTACGACCATCTCCACTTTCTAGATCAGGAAACTGAGGCTCGCAGAGAGGAAGGGAGCTACGCGGTGGCACCATGCTAGCCCCTGGCTGAGTGGTCTTGGGTACATGAATGTCCTGGCCACCGGGCTCACTCTTCCTGAATGGCCGGTGGAGCACTAACGTGAGTGCCACTCCTCCCAGGAGGCGAGGCCAAGTGGGAGAGGCCCCTCAGCTCCAAAGACCCTGGAGACCCAGGCCTCTGTGGGGGGCCACGCTGATAAAGGTGGAGAAGGAGATGGACAGGCGGAGTGTCCAGCTCTGGCGTCCCCACCGCTCAGAGATCCAGGTCTTTGGCCAAAGCAGAAGTCTGCCCAGTGCTGGGTGGGTCTGCCCTCCCATGACTCAGTGGGCATTTCAGACACACGGTCAGACCCGGGGCACTGAGCAGAGGCTATGGCCCCAGGCCTCTCTGCTACTCCGAGACACTGCCCCCCGAAGGTTCCTCCTCTCTGGCCCCACTTCCTGGGCACTTTCTGTGTCTCACTTTACTTCTCATGCTCACTCTCTAAGACTACAATTATCTCCATTTCACAGATGAGGAAACTGAGATCCTGAGACCTGCCAAGTCCCCACGGCGACTAGGTGTTTGGACTGGGCCCATATGCCTGTCCGCTTCCATGCCTGGGCTCTGGCCCCAGCGTGAGCGCCAGCCCGGGGACCAAGGTTGCTCCTCCTCCAAGGAGCTCTGCTATGCACTCCACACTGCTCAGTCTGTGCTTGACAAGACAACTAATTTGCCTGGTTCACGACTGAGAAAGTCCACAAGGGGATCCAGTGAAGTGCTGGCCATTCCCCAGGCCCGGCGCCCTTCCTGGGAGGATCAGTCACCAGTCTCCTGGCGGGGGTGGGTGGGGGGGCTCATCTTGGAGAAGCAAATATCTACGTGTCTTCTCCCTGCCACCCCTTAAAAACCAGAAAACGAAAGCACTGTACACACACTATCCGAACCTTGATTTTTTCCCCCTCTTAATGATATATCAGAGTTTATTCCACTCAAGACATAAAGAGCCTTTCCATTTTTAATGGCCGCACAGAATTCCAAGGTACGGACGAATCGCCTGCCCCCACCAGGTGCTGTTCTAAGGTGTGCGGCCCTAGTCCAGGCCTCCTGCTTGGAGTGATAAAGCCGAAGCCGTCTCCACATGTCATTACTGCACACAGTGTGCAGGTCACCTGTGTCCTGGCCACACCATCCCCGTGTGGGTTAACCTGGAGAACACGCTTGTAAAAGCAGAGCTGCTGCCTCACGTGGGCCTTGTCCTGCTGATACGTGCTTTCTGGGTTCACTCCATCCAGACCACAGTGAGGCATGTCCCGTATTTATTTCTTCTGCCCTCACCCCACCCACCAACCATCCCTCCACTCCCCGCACTTAGCACACATTTATACACCCAGATGTCCGACTTCTCCATCCATCATCGATCCAGCTACATGCCTGTCCATCCACTCACCCGTGCACACATCTTTCGTGCCCACTTGCCCATCCATGGCTGCTTCCAACTCTCCCAGCGAGTGCTCTCCCGCACCGGTCCTGTGCCGGTCCTATGCTAGGTCACGGGGCATGCAGAGATTAAAATGAATTAAGTTGCAGTGTTCAAGAAAATCTTGGTCTAAGTCTGTATTCACTCCAGGTCACCTTCCAGGTGACTATTTGTTGAGCTCCTCCTATCAGTCAGGTGTTTCAGGCACTGGGCACAGATAGACACTGTTACTCTACCCCCTCCCACTTTACAGATGAAGAAACTGAGGCTCAGAGGTTATAGTGCAGTGGTTCTCAACCTTCCTAATGCCGCCACCCTTTCATACAGTTCCTCATGTTGTGGTGACCCCCAACCATAAAATTATTTTCGTTGCTACTTCATAACTGTAATTTTGCTACTGTTATGAATCGTAATGTAAATATCTGATATGCAGGACGTATTTTCATTGTTTGCGACCCACAGGTTGAGAACCGCTATTATAGTGGAAACTAGCTCCAGAATCCCGGCTTTCCCGTCACAGCCTAAATTGTACAGGAACAGGGAAGCCCCTGCAGGAGGCTTCTCTGATGCTGTAAACATGGGTGCTGGGGGAGAAGGAAGAGGCGAGGGTGTCCCTAAAGCAGGGGCTGAGTTTACGTGCACAGAGCCTCAGCCAGCCTCATGTGGCAAGTGCTCTGGGGCCAGAGACAAAGCATGTGGGCACGGGCACATTGGCTGCCAGGGTCCCCATCAAGGAGTGGTCTCCACAGCCAGCCAAAGGGCAACATTATTGCCCCAGGCCAGCTCCACGGGGCGTGCAAGAAAGCCCAGGTCTCTGCAGGCCTCAATCCTGTCCTCAGGCCGCAGCCAACCAGGACAAAGGGCCTGCGGCGACCCAAGCAGCCAGCAGGGGGCACTGTTGATGAGCCTATGAGCCCAGAGGGGCTTCGAGCAGGCTTCTCTGGCATCTAGGCCTTCGAGTCCCCATTTGTAGAGGAGGATGGTGAGGGTGAGGGATCAGATGGCCTCATGAAGCTCCATCTCTAAGTAGGAGCTTTGCCCAGGATGGGCACAGCATCTGGTCTAGGGTGAGAGACCTAGTAGGGCTTTGATAAGGCACCTGCCAAATGACTGACAGATCATTTCTGGAGCCTGAGGCGCTTGGGCCACCCAGGGAAGCCCCCAGCAGGCATGGGGAGTCCAGAGCCCCCAGGCAGTCACCTTTGGGCCCAGAGGCAGTGGGGCCACAGTTCTCACGTTAGGAAGCAAACGGAAAAGGCGGGGGGAAGGGAACTGTCCAAGCTCAGGCCGGGCTCCGGGGAGCTCGTGGCCATCCTGCCTGGAAGTCAGTGGCTGGTCGCAGTTGGCTTCTAGAGTCCAAGATTCTCTGAATATCAATACCCAAAGGTCCTTTAACGTCTCCCACTAGCCTAACAGCTCAGTTGGTTTTATGTGGGGGAGCCCGAGGCCTGCAGGAGTTTGTCCAAAGCCACACAGCACAGGGGGCTGGGTCCAGGCCCCGGGCGCTCTCCTTCCAGGCGAGGGCTCCTGACTAGAGGAGCCAAGAAATGGACAGATGGGCCGGGGATACCTGTGAGACCCAGTGACGGGGTGGCAGCCAGCAGGGAAGACGTCACAGGTCACAACTGTGTGTCATCTACAATAAAGGAACAGAATGCCTGGCTGGTTATGCAGGCCCTCACAGGTGAGGTGACATTTTTAAACTGCTGAGATCAATGGAAAATCAGGGTTATTAACATCAGGAACAGACGCGGCTGGCAGCTCCAGCCCCTGCAGAAGAGGGGTCAGGACCTGAAGGCCAAGGGCCCCAGGCCTGGAGAGAGGGGTGGGCTAAAGGAGGCACCGGAGAGGGCGCTCACTGAGGGGTGGTCGGGAATCCCCATTAGTTCTGCACCTGCTACGTGCAGGCACCAGTCCTGGTCCTGTGCGTTGCTAATTTATTTAGTCCTAAAAGGCTCAGAGAGGTGGCACAGCTCGCTGAGATCCAAATGCTCTGCCTTTCTAACTGTATATGTTGTTTCTTCCACTCCACCAAGAATGAAGCCTCCTGGAAGCCCCCCCTCTTCCGGGCTGTGACTGCGCCCAAAGAGATATCCCTTTGGTTCCACCCAAACTGTCCAAATCCACCCACTTGCTTCAAGGCCCCTGGGCTCCCTGCACGCTGGCTGTCTCGAGAAGTGACCGGTGTTCAGCGGCCAGCAGAGGTCGCCCTCCACCGTGGGAGCGTTGCTGGCCACAGCTGCCTCCTTCCTCAGAGCCTGGATTCCTATGAGCCTTTACAAGTCGCTACAAATCCTCCAAGGCTGCTGCTCCAGTGCCCACCGTGGCATTCCCTCCCAACTGGAGACTGTGCGGGCCTGGCCCCGGGTGCACCCATGGCCCCAGCCCTTCCACCGCCGTCTGCCTCTGAATGGAGAGTGGGCTCAAGCAGGCAAGCCCCCATCGCCTCTGGCCCCTGGCTTCTCTCCTGGTCCGAGCAGACAAGAGCCTGTAGGAGATGCAAAGCTAGTCAGCCTGGGGGCCTGGAGAAGACCCTGCTCTGCCACGGCCGCCAGGCCTCAGTTTCCCCTTCTGTAACAGGAAGGCTAGCAGCCCCTGGCAGCCCTTCAGACTCCAACATCTTAGGAGTTCTGTCAGGAGCTTCAGCTGTTTGAATGCTCCATCTCGACAAATGTAGAAGCTTGGCTCCAAACAGCAAAGCAAGCCCGTCCCAAGGCAGCCCCAGGGAGGGAGCCGCCGTCCCAGGGGAGCCTGAGGCCGCTGCGCTGCCTTTCTCAGCTCACACTGTCCTTGCACCTGCGCTCAGCTTG